CCTTAAACCCCTCCATTACCCGGAGGCCAGCCAAGTGCTCACCTAGCAAACACAACACCCGCCTGGCTGGCTGGCATACAAGGGATCCAGTGTCACAACTGCTATGAGGAAACCCATAATGTTGCTCAACAGTCTTTGCTCCAGAATGTCGTGTTGCCAAGTTAAAATTTCCCAATTTCCTCATTGAGGATGGGGGGGGGGCACCCGGGGAGGGAAGGTTGCTCAGTCTGCAGATGTGCTTGAGCTATAAAAGCCCCTGGACTGCCCCAGCGCAGACACTGGGAGAGCTCGCATTGTCGAAGTTGTGCCGAGAAGATGATGCTCTGGGAGTTCCTGCTGCTGTTGCCCCTGCTTGCAGGGAGCTCAGGTACGTGGGAACAGGGATTCTATCAAAGGGTTTGCAGGGCTGAGTTTGGATTCACTGCCACATTTTGGGGAATTGTTTTTAGGCAGATGCTCATGGGTTGGGGACCGGATTTTCCTCTGCACGTGGCCTGCACCTCGCACATTCTGGCCCCTGCAGTCTGCACCAATGACAGTAACACAAACACTGATCATTTGGGTTTTGAAAGGGTCTCACTGAGTTGTCTGTTGCCCGTCCATTCTGCAGGAGCTCTGTGCCCTGACTGAGTCCCGCTCCCTGCTCCCAGCTTCCCAGCCCTGCCCCCAGGCTCAGCCCATCCGTGTAGTTTGACTTCTATATTTGGGGGGGCAGCTCCAGTCAAGCCAACGGGGCCATGCATGGGCGGGGGAGTGGGAGGGGCAAATTCTGTGCCGGCTCACAGGGGAACCATTTCAGATTGGGGAGGGGGGAACTTTAACTGTGATTCCAGGGGCTACTTAGGCAACTGAAAACTCTCCTTTTTTGGCAGATAATAACTTAGAAATCTCTGACAGGAGCATTGTATCTAATTCCTATATCTAGAAAGAAAATTAAATAAATATTCGACCCACTCAGCTCTAATACTAACGTGTTCTGACATCTTGTGGCAAGTCACTTATGGGACACTGATTGGGTTTCAAATTGTAATGTAGCTTCTTACTCAGAGACGCTTACTGAAGTCAGAAGGGACCATCGTGATCATCTAGTCTGACCCCCTGCACATCGCAGGCCACAGAACCTCCCCCACCCACTCCTGTACTAGAGCCCTGAGCTCTGGCTGAGTCCTTGAAGTCCTCAAATTGTGGTTTAAAGACGGCAAGTTACAGAGAATTCATCATTTACACTAGTTTAAACCTGCAAGTGATCAATGCCCCATGCTGCAGAGGAAGCGAAACCCCCCGCATAGTCTCTGCCAATCTGACCCAGGAGAAAATTCCTTCCCGACCACTAATATGGTGATCAGTTAGACCCTGAGCATTTGGGGTAGACTCACCAAGAAGATACCGGGGAAAGCATTCTCTGTAGTAACTCAGAGCCCTCCCCATCTAGTGTCCCATCTGCAGTCGTTGGGGATCTTTGATACAGGCAGTCGCTGATGCGCCATTCACCATTATAGGCAGTCCTGTCATATCATCCCCTCCATAAACTTATCAAGCTCAGTCTTGAAGCCAATTTGGGTTTTTGCCCCCACTGCTTCCCTTGCGAGGCTGCTCCAGAACTTCACTCCTCTGATGGTTAGAAATT